GATGCTGGGTCTGGACGCGGCTGGTAAAACCACCATCCTGTACAAACTGAAGCTGGGCCAGTCCGTCACCACCATCCCCACCGTGGGCTTCAACGTGGAGACGGTTACTTACAAAAACGTCAAGTTCAACGTGTGGGATGTCGGGGGCCAGGACAAGATCCGTCCCCTCTGGAGGCACTACTACACGGGCACGCAAGGGTTGATCTTTGTGGTGGACTGCGCCGATCGCGACCGCATCGACGAGGCCCGCCAGGAGCTCCACCGCATTATCAATGACAGGGAGATGCGGGACGCCATCATCCTCATCTTCGCCAACAAGCAGGACCTGCCTGATGCCATGAAACCCCATGAAATCCAGGAGAAACTGGGCCTGACCCGAATCAGGGATAGGAATTGGTACGTGCAGCCCTCCTGTGCTACTACAGGGGATGGACTCTATGAAGGGCTGACATGGTTAACATCCAATTATAAATCCTAATGAGAGAATAACTATTTAGTCTACAAAGAATTAAAGAAAGAAAAATAACCCACATGGCTTTCCGGAAGAATGATTCTCTACTGAAAAGTAAAACAAAAGCATCCATAGGATTATGATCACCTTTCTCCAGTTACCACCCTTTCCTTCTGCACACTTGACTGGATTCCTGTTTTAACTCTTCTTGCTTGGCGTTAGGATGCTCTAATCTCCGAATGTGACACGAACACAAGCACTAGATGCTATGGCAGACTTCCAGCAAACAGGGGAAAGACACATTGTAGACTTGCTAAGTAACTTTTTTTTTTTCTCTTGATAGCCCTTAAGATGGTTTGATTATTTTGGGGGATCGTTGGGGGAGGGGTACCATTTTCAGTGTATGCTTTCTGGTTCTACTTTTTTGATTATATATTTTTTTTTTTCCTTCTATCACTTGCTGTAGATTGCTACTTTTTTGCATTCGTGCAGAATATGTTGATAGGTCTACTTCATCTAGTAAACTGAAAATTATTGCTTAAAATCAAACTGCAGTCTGTCTTTTTATATTAAGGACTTTTTTTAAAGTTCTGTTAATCTGTAACTAAATAGTGACTCTCAGTCTGTCTTCATATCTCAGACTAATAATGAAACGAATTCTTGCCTACAGTGGCAGATAGTGAGAATACCATTGTAACATGTTCAAAGTGCATATCAGGCATAATGTTAACTAGGTAATGTAAGAACTGCTTTGAAATGTCAGCTGTGAAGTTCTGAACCATACATCATGCATGAGAAGGGATGCAAATAAGTTCCCCATACTACATAGCAACCATATAGCAAATAAGACATGAATGATGTAATAGTTCCAGGGTAGATACTGTTCGTTTTTCATCTTGCATTGCAAACTTAGATGATGTTTAGCTACGGCTTTTACTACTCATGTCAGTCTCCGATTCAATGCAAGATAGGTTCCTTCCAGAAAATGCAGCAATAACGTGTAAGCATTGCAACAAGTTTTACTTTCAATCACAGACGTTAAGGCAAAAATCTAGCACCGACTTGCCTGTCTTGCGATCGAGGCAAATTGCTTTCATCTCAAGGCAGTTGAAGACATCTAAATCTTAAAAGGATTTCTGATTCTTTCTGACATGCACGTAGTGGAGAAAGAAATTTTTTTTTTTTTTTTCTTTTCCATTTTGTGGACTTCCGAAGGGGCAAGTTCCGTGCTGAGCTTAAATTGAGCTCGGTAATTCTGGCATCTGAGTAATAGCCATTTTGAGGAAATCACTCATTGGTTTAGTTTTCCAAGACTCGACTGAACTCGTGCAAGTAGTCGCAGTCTTCGCCATCTGTCTCGGTAGCCGGTTGTTGCTGTAGTCCTGTAGGAAGGGAACTATGTTGGATGTCTGAAGCCCATTGAGTAACTACTAATGAGAGCGGGGAGGAGAGAGAGAGAGAGAGAGAGTATACGACTATGAATGTAAACTTCCACAATTAGTTCTTAAAGGGCAAGCAGCTCATTTGCCATATCACAGTTTGCAGATGTGACTGGCAAAAAAAAGCCCCACCCAGAATAAGTATTAGTATAAAACCTCAATCCAGTATTAATGCTGGGTGCAAAAAATGTTAAAGCAGCTGGTTCTTATTCAGCCTTAAGGATTAACTTCAGATTTCCTCAAGGAGTTAAACTCAATTGGGGAATTCTAGGAATGTATGCTACAAAACCAGAAGAAAATGGCTTTTTTTTCTTTTTTTTTCTTCCAAGGATATAAGTTTTACATGAAGTTGGGGGCATTACACTACATTTATGCAGTGTTGACTCTGCATGCTAAGTACATTGTATATGGAGCTCTTACCAAAGATGTATGGGAAGATTAAAAATACTGAATTCACTTCTGAAATTGAATGCTTTGGACCACTTAAAAGTTCCTTTAGAATATGGTTCCAAAAGTCTTATCTTGATGTGAGTTGCAAATGGGACTGAATGGGTTCTTGATGCTAGAAGATAGAGCGTTGATTGACTATAAGCCTTCCTAAGTTTAAGAGAGTCTGCAAAAGCATAATGTAGAACAGCTCTTAAATCTCAGCTCTAAAGAAGAGGAGGTGAGATTTTTTTCACTCGAGGCTTTTTGCCATTGGAATATCATTGCTCTATTTTCTAGCCTTTTTTTTTTTTTTTTTTCTGTGGATGTAACTTAACAAATAGTGTGGTGGTATAAAGACTAAAAATACAAGAATATGGTTACTGTTTTCTTCTGGAGCGTAAATAAAACAGCCAAGCACAAAGTAAATGCCTAAACTGGAAAACTTGAAGCTCTATTAATGGTTCTTGAACTTTCTTAAATCTATTCTCAGTCAACATGAAAACTTCAATAACTTCCATTTTTCATCTAAGTTGATTTACTGTGTTTTCAAGTGTTGGGGCAGACTTCTTTGCTAGACTTTGCATTAAGTTGAATTCACAATTTTGTATTTCCTTAGTTACTTTGTTATTCTGTTTTTGTAGGCGAAAGGAAACTGATTATGCTTCTGACTTTTTTTAATGTCTTTTTTCGGGGGGAGAAAAAGTTACTGAAACATGTGGCAGAGACGTCAAAAATAAATGGCCATTGCTACTGAACAAAATATAAAGGTTTCACTTTCACCATGTCCTTTATAGGTTGTAGCTGAACCTCGCCACGAACTAGTGGCTATCAGGCAGTAAACGTAGCCTGTAGGATAAAGCGGCAATCTGTAAGAAATCCTATGATTTAAAAATGAATCTGGAGTTTAAGTGCATCAATTTGTGTTCATGTGAATTTATGGAGTAAGTTTTGAATGGCGTTAATCGTGTCTGATAAGTGAATGAGTTTGTAGACTGTGATCTCCCTGACTAAAGTAAACAGGAATTTTGTGTTCTCAATATGGCTGTAGTGTTGGTAAAGAACTAATAAGCAGAAAATAAAGCAATTATACAGCGGAGCTCTCCTGGTATGTTACTTATATTTAATTATGAGAGAAACAGAAAGGGGCAATATGGTGCTGGAGTAGAGCATTCTGCCGACATAAAGAGGTCTCTGTTCTGTATCTCACAGTTTTGAAAGCCTGTCTGTAATTCCTGTGAGACTTAGATTAGCGACTATTTTTATAAGTGGAAAGGATGATACTTCTTTAATACTCCCACTTGCAGTTAACAATCTTTAGCAAACTTTATGTCAAATTTTTACTGCCTCGGTGCCAGCCCCACGTAACTGGGGAAGGTGACCCGCTCCGTGAGAGGGCACGGAGGGACTGTTGCTGAGCAGGACGGTTCCGTGTTTCACGGAAGAAATGACTTGGTTGGAAAGGGAAGATATTAGGCCAGTGTAGAAAATGCAGCGATGGACAAAAGGGTCGATGAGTGAATAGGGGTGCTTGTGGAGTGACAGATGTGGGTGCCAGCCCCACGTAACTGGGGAAGGTGACCCGCTCCGTGAGAGGGCACGGAGGGACTGTTGCTGAGCAGGACGGTTCCGTGTTTCACGGAAGAAATGACTTGGTTGGAAAGGGAAGATATTAGGCCAGTGTAGAAAATGCAGCGATGGACAAAAGGGTCGATGAGTGAATAGGGGTGCTTGTGGAGTGACAGATGTGAAGCTGGGATGTCTTTGGTGCCTGAATAAGACACGAGCGAGCCGATAAAAGGACTTGGGCAGGTGCAGCAGGGAATGCGGGGGGGGCCGGGACCCGAGCAGCAGGCTGGGGTGCATGCATCGGGCTACGGTTACTGCAACAGCTGCCGTCCTGCGGGCCCAAGGAGAGGCAGCGGCGTTACAGGAACCACCCACGGATCCCAGCCTGAGCTGGGCTGTTGGGCTGCTCGGACAGGAGCTTTGCTGACAGAGGGGACGGCGGAGGTTTTGAGGTAGCTCCCAGCACCCACAACTGCAGGTGCGAGGCCAGGCGTCAGCCGCTGGGAACTGACTTCTTGTTGCAAAGCTTTCGGGAATCGCCAGGAGACATTATTCAGCCAGGTGGGAGTACCGGGGTGCAGGGGCGGTGGGCCCACCGCAGCTGCAATCCTCCGCAATGCCTTTTTATTCCAGAGTATTTAGGCTAGGCTCTGTCTACCTGAATGTCAGTTAAGGGTGTGGCTGTGTAAATGAACTTACTCTGACTTAATTAAACTACTTGGAGTTTGAAGACAAGGCTCCAGAAGAGTAAACTCATGGCTCTTTCATTGTAGTAGTTAGTCATTTTTCAAAATGTCAGCACTTATCGGTTTAAATCAGACCTTTGTTACAGCAGCAGTTAGCATGGCTCCCGAGATCACCCGTCCCGAATCGTGCCGTGACTCACACTTCAGCAGGGCTTTTTTTCCCCAGTCACAGGGCCGCAGTCCTCATGGACAAGGTTTGGAAAAAATGTGCCTGCCATCCCTAATTGGAAATTAACCCTGCTAATACGATAGTCCTCGCAAAGGAATGTCTCTCGGTTTGAAAAAATCAGTTGCATCGTCGAAAGAGCTGGCTGCAAGATCTGTGATAGCCGGTGGCTTTGCTGATGGACCTGAGCGTTATTGCTGGGAACTGGGAACGGGAGAAGCGACTGCCAGGAGCGGAGAACTTGCTCTGGAGCATGGAAGCAGCCTTGGTGTGGGCACCGTGACTCAGACTTCCCACTAACGCACGGTTGTGCTTTTTATCGTGGATTTGTTTCTAGTAGCTGTCCAGCCTGACGGGCTCAGTGTGTGGAATCTGAAATCACCTCAGCTTTGGCGCTTTCTGGGGGGAAAAAAAAGCTTTCCCCTCGCCTTGGGGGGAAGCGTCAGCTTTCCAGGGCTGTTGGTGAGTTAGTGGCATCTCCACTTACTAACTCTGTTCCTCTTCCGACATCCTAAGCACGACTCCGGCACCGACGCCGCTCAGGTCTGCAAGTTTCAGAATTATGTCTAAGCAGACGCTTTCAGGACTTTGGGCCGAGGTGGATGACTTGAGCACCGCAACCCATCTCGCTTTCAAAATTTGGAGCACCACGAAGAGCAGTGTAATTTTAGCCCTGCCGTCACTTCTGAAGGGGTGAAGCGGGTGAGTCAGAGCCCCGTGGTGCTCGGCAGCGAGGGGTGCGTCCCCGCTGAGCGCCGGGAGCTTGTGTGAAAGGCGGATTTTATAGGTGGTAAGCTGGGTATGCGGTGTATTGTCCAGGAAGTCGCTCTTCTCTTGCTTGGGAACAGGTATCTCTGGCCTCCTTAAAAAAGAGAGGAGGGGAAAAAAAAAAAAAAAAAAAAAAAAATGTGAGTCATCTGCTGAGTCCTCCAGCCGCAGAGTCTCACAGTGGTTTAACAGGCTCAGGCCCTTGCTTCGCCTCAAGAGAAATGTTTTGCCTTCCAGAGGATGCACTTCACTCCTCTGTTACTGGTTTCTTGAGTTGCATCTTTTAGGACAGCATTCGTTAGAAAAAATACCAAAGAGGATTTAATGGGTGTCTGTTTTGTGAGAGATGGAAATTGATAACGCTTGAAAATTGGTAACACTTGAAGCACTTTTTTTTTCCATAGGAATGTTCGGATGAGTGCAGCCTCGAGGGGG